AGAGTGTAAAGGGAAGATTGGAATGTAGGCAGCAAAAGCAAAATGAAGCCAACTTGGAAAACTGGCCTGTTATCTCTCCTCTTTCCGTTCCCTTGCTGTAACCTTCCCTGTACCTCCTCCCTACTTGGTCCCTGACTCCTTGACCCACTGGCCTGCTCCCATGCACCTGTTCTCCAGCTCTTGTAGGTACCCTCCTTGCTCAGGGAGCTCCCTGTGTGGTTGCAATAGTACCTTTGGACCTCTTGTGGCAGTTCCTTGCCATCTTTCTACTGGCTGATTTATTTTTTTGGCTGGGCTACAGGGTCATTTCTTGTGCTTGTAGTGGCCTCTAGTGGAAGCTTGCAGCTGGAGTCTTTCATTTTTACAGCAGCTTCTGCAGGTATCCAGGCTCTTCTGTGAGCCTGGGCAGCCCAGTGGTAGACCCTTGCAAGGACAGTAGCAAGACTTCCTTCTTCACTGTAAATAGTTTATATAAGGTCCTGTAAGGAAAGGTGCATGTGGGGTTCAGGTATATGTAATAGATACTGCCTTTGGTTTCAAGGTAAACTTGCACTGTAGCCTTTGGGTAGACAGAATCTGGGCACCTCTGGTGTGTACAGCACCATCAGTGGTGATGGTGCTGCCCTGACTCATAAATGTGCCTGTTACAGTCTCTAGTGCTGGTGTCGCGCCTGCCCTACGTGAACCTGTTCCAGTCGCTGCTGCAGCTGATTGCTCCGGAGTACTTCGACAAGCTGGAGCCGTGCTTGGAGGCAGGTGAGAAGGCTGGGCAGGAGCAAGCGTTTGCATGTCTAAGTGCGTTAAGGGTTTTTATATGGAGGTAGCTGAAAGATGCTCCTTGTCTAGGCTGTTTTGCCAAACCAGTCCCAGCTTCCCTTCTGCATCCAGCTATTTGTCAGATCTGTTTCAGTTCATGCCCAAGTCCAGTCCCAGTTTCCCTTCTCTCACCCCTCCTCCTCAGTTTTCTGTCCTTAGCCAGATTAAAAAAAAAGGGATTGGACACGTGCTTAAAGGAAAGGGGCATGGGGAGCTCTGGAGCATGGGAGTGAGGGGCACGGCCTCTGCATCAGACCTGCCTGGACCTTCAGTACTGGATGCTGCAAGGGAGAGAGGAACAGGGGAAAACCCTGCTTGGACCCAGTCACTCTCCCTTCCAGCCTCCGCTCTCTGCTGCTGTATGACACAGGAGACTGGGTAAGATGGACCTATGGTTTGACCCAGTCAATGGCAATTCTTAGACTGCTTTGCATTTGAATCAGGGAGCTCTCTCCTCCTGCCTGACCCAGTGCTGAGGGGAGCATTGGGAGCACATTCAGTTCCAGTGCCTGGGCCTGATCCAACCCACACGAGAGCTGCAGTGGCAGTACAATGGGTAGTCTTTCATTTGGCTTTATAGTGCTAACAAACCTCTACCGGACATGTGCGAGGTGTGATTACACTTGTCATTTAGCCAAGTGGTGGGCGGGGGCAGAAACAGTGGGGTATCGGAGCAGTGGGTTTATGTAAACAGCTGGATGCCCACCTCTGCTTCACAAGTTTCTCTCCGAAAACTTTCCAGTCCCTTCTACATGAATTGCAATCATGTCTGTAAGGAAAGGAGGCCAAGACTTTTATTTTTTTAACGTGTGCAAAACTAGGTGTTATTTTAGAAACAGGTGGAACGTTTGGGCTGAAATTTCCCCAAAGCAAAAAAGAATTCAGCCTGAAGGTTTGAAGAAGTTATCAAAACTGGAGGAAAAGGGATTTATAATGGGCAGCGTGCAGCAGCTGTAGTCAGTGGTGCCATCAGCCTCAGCTGAGATCTCTTTCTGAAAAGGAACGAGCGTGGGTGCTTTGTCGCTACCGGTGGCTTTATTCTCTGCTTGCCAACTGGAAAGTCTTGAATCACTGCCAGTGCAGCTCTGCTGATTGGAGTGATAATTGCAATAGACAGACTCCAGTGTTACCGCTCTGATCTAATCTTGGCCTAAGCAGAGTCACATGCGCTGAGGGGTAGCAAAAACCAGCTAGCACCCTGCCACAGGTCAGCAGGGGCTCGTGGGGACTGGAGTCGGCCTTTGGATTAACCCCTTCTTTGCCTGTATTTTTGCAGTGTGCAATGAAATCGATCAGTGGCCTGGGCCAGCGCCAGGACAGACTTTGAACCTTCCAGTCATGGGAGTGGTCATTCAGGTGCTTACTGCTGCTTCTGCACTGAAATCCCCAAGCCCCAGCACCAAGGCAGGATGGGAAGGTCTCCTGCATGTTTTTTGCCACTGGGTGGGGATGTTGCTGGTGCCTGTTTTTTTCCTTTAGCCTGATCATAGAATCATAGAAAATGTGGGTTGGAAGGGAGCTCAGGAGGTCACATCTAGTTCAACTTGCTGCTCAAAGCAGGCCCAGCCTCAACTACATCATCCCAGACAAGGCTTTGTCTAGCCAGGTCTTCAAAACCTCCAAGGATGGAGATTCCCCAACCTCTCTGGGTAACCTGTTCCAGTGCTTCACTACCCTTCGAGTGTGAGAGCTTTTCCTCATAGCCAACTTAAACTCCTCTTGCTGCAACTTGAGCCCATTGCTCCTTGTCCTGTCATCTGCCACCACCAAGAACAGCCCAGCTCCATCCTCTTTGCAGCCCCCCTGCAGGGAGCTGAAGGCTTCTGTCAAATCCCACCTCAGTCTTCCCTTCTGCAGACTCAGTAAGCCCAGTTCTCTCAGCCTCACAAGTCATGTCCCCCAGCCCGCAACCCTTTTCATTGCTCTCCACTGGATTCTCTCCAATTTGTCTACATCCTTTCTGTAGTGGGGGCCCACATCTGGACACAGGACTCCAGATGTGGCCTCCCCAGTGCTGAATAGAGGGGAAGAATCTCACTGCCCTTGATCTGCTGGCAGCTCTCCTGCCAATGCAGCCAAGGATGCCTGTGGCCTTCTTGGCAACAAGAGTCACACTGTTGTTTCCTATTCAGTTTGTTGTCCACTCATAGATTTGTTGTACACACGTAGATTTGTTCCATGAGCAATTTGCTTGTCTCTTGCAGGGGCAGATGTCAGGGAAGGTAGTGTGTGCATGCCTGCCAGCTCAGCTTGTCTCCCCTAAATAACTTCTCTTTCTAAATGTAATCCAGGTGAGAATCCCATCTCGGGTGGATAAACCTGGATCGAGCCCTGTGAAGCAGTTCAATCAGGAGGTAAGATGAA